TTAAAGCAGCTTCTCATTTTCATGCAAACAAAAAAATCAGCAGGAACAATGGAAGAGAATAAAGAGTGGTCAAAAACACTAATTCAAAGCAAATAGAGGGTCAAAAACACACGAGTACCCACACATGTACTWTCATACTGTATATCTGTTCATAAATTAATGCTCATTACCTCCGCCAAGGGCGAGGTAATGTTTTTGTTTGCGTATGTCTGTCGTTCTGTCTGTGGACAACATTACTCAAAAACTTGTGTATGGATTGTGATGACCTTTGTACCACACGTGGGTACTGGGCCAAGGAACACACCTTTAAATTTTGGTGATATTCTGGATCACGATGCGGATACAGGAATTTTTTTTCTTTTAACACTCTGAGATCGGCAAAGCTGTGATGCTTTCACAGGGCTTCTGTAAAAAAAACAGTGAGCTGGATTGGACAGCACGGACTTCAAACTTTTTAAAAATAATGTTAAAACCAGATTTAATGATGAATAATTCTTGCCATAATGTGCACATTTACAGAACGTTTTGTGACCAGGAAGTGCGTGACTGCACCATAAAACCTATTTTTCCCCATTTTCTCAAACACACCACATTTCCGAAATAACCAATAAAAACAGTTTGTCTCTACTAGGCTTGTAAACAGAGAGCTGCCGGGCCTCAAAGTTTGGAGACGGGGGCAGGAAGCACTTTATAAAGAGAGTCAAACCATTACAAACTCATATAAGGGGATAAAACAGACGTTTTACATGGTGAAATGTGACTGATGAAAACTTAGGAGCTTAATCCGACACCAGTTTGACGATGAATACCATCGGGTGACCAGTGTGACTTCTTTTTCACATTGGACTCCACCAAGAAGAAATCCCGTGCATACTGCCTGCTCAAATGTTCGCTACGTCAGAACTTATTCAGCAAATGTGTTTCCATCTCTGCTTTTGCGCGTTAACTCTTACAGGATGGGGGAAATTCGTCTTGACGGAGGTTTGCACTCTCCGAGTGCTTCTAATTGAATAACCTGATAGCAGCTGGCAGAACTTCCTGCAACAAGTCCCTACATCGAAGATGGCTAAGCCCAAGCTAAAGGTGCTCAGATGAAGCATTCGAAGAGCATGAGGAAGGTTATCCAAAACTGCCACGGTCCACCACTTGTGTTCAGTTCAAAACCAAAAATAGAACTGGCCTTCTTGATCAGCTTGTTGAATCCCGTCGCCCCTACGAACCACAGCAAAGAACGGAAGAATGGCCGCTGCTGTCTGGTAGAAGGTGTACAGGAGGGGCTTGGTCAGGTTGAAAGACCATCACGTTAGAAAGTGCAGACCACTCAGACTCTTTTTATAGGGCATTACAAATGCATAAACCAGTCCAGTTTGCTTTCCAACAGTACCCCAAGGCGTCTGTAGATGGAAACTGTTCCTTGATGTGGAATAGACTTCCTTTTTCTAAAATCAACAATTATTTATTTAGCTTTTCAGATGTTAAGTTGTAAATTGTTCTGGTTGCTTTTGTGTAAACTTTGAGGAAAAAGTCAAGATGCACTTAAAGTCATTAAAGTCATTAAGATTGAGAAACTCTGACAAAACGACTATTTACAATTTTTGGTCTAGACCAGGGGTCTGCAACCTTTACGATCAAAAGAGCCATTTGTGCTCCAAGTCTCACTAATAAAATTTGTCCTGAGCCGCAAAACAAGCTACAACTGTGATTAGCAAGTGGTGGTYCGTGGGCCTTTTCGAGGCCTTATCGGGAACCTTTATGGTCAGTAGAGGAGACATTAAAAAACTAAACAAATATTGTCATTATATTTTACTTTTTTACTATACACATCAGGACAAATAAAAAACCCATATTCATTTAAACAAGAAAAATACTGTATACTGAATTTCATAAAAACTAGTACAACTGAATTATTCAGGCATTTTTTTCCTAATTCTTATTATGATGTAGTCTTCAATTTCTTTAAAGGTAATTCTGATGGATTTGAGAGAAAGATCTTAGAAAGAAATTGGAATATTTAAGTAAACACCAGGCTAGCATGAGCTAGCATTTTACTTTATGTATTAGTAATATTGATCACATCCTATTTGCATACAAATTGATTTCTGTTGTGGGTATAGAAAAACAAAACAAAWAATTATTCGGTTATGTCTAGTCACATTTTACAAGAGCCACTGCAGAGGGACCAAGGAGCCACATCTGGCCCCAGAGCTGCAGGWTGCAGACCCCTCCCTGGTTTAGACAAAAATGATGAACAAATTTAACATGACTGAGGTATAGGATATATACTGAGAAGGGTAACTTGAGGGAAAGCTGAACTTTCACACAGCTCTCCAAACACCACATCAGTAAATCCTCAGCTCTTTATAGCACCTTTGAATCCTAAAAGCCCGTTTTTAAAAAATCAGTTTAGTTGTTCCCATTAGTGTGTTTAAGATTTATGTGTTGAGTCAGGATGACACGGCCTCACACAGTAAAGACCGTCATATTTCACAGGATTTTTCTTTTCTCTCCTTCCAAACCGAACCCTCCAAAGCCATCACCATGCCCCATGTCCACCCCATCCGACCCCTGCCAATCCCCTCTCATGACCYCCTGCCTTTGTTTTTAATGGAACCCTTATGCAACTTGGTGAGCAGCTAAAAATAGACCGGAGGTCAGGACAGACAGTGTTTGGAGTTGAAAAGCGGGTAGATGTCTTGCAGAGTGTCTCAGTGATTATGCCCACAAATCTCTACATCTCACAGGAAGAACCAGCAAGAATTTCCCCTGGGAAACATGAACCAGACCCACTGCGCGAGGCATGACAGTCTGCTCTGATAAAACAGTCCCTGCTGTTTCACGGCATGTCTTGAGTTATTATTTTTTTCCACTTTAAATTACAATTCCTTACGTGCAGKTTCAGAACCAAAACGGGCTTATGGAATCATTTGTTTGTAAGTGACACTCAAAAAAATAAATACACTTTTCTTAAAAATAGCTCTGACTACCCTGTTACAAAAGTTCCCCCAGCACAATAGTACATACAGTAAATGGATTTTATCATGCTCAATTTAAATTCTCTCAGTTATTCTTTCTGGGGGATAAAAAAAAAAAGCAGACTTCTTTGTGGATTTAGGTCCAAAGGCACATCATTTTGTGAATTCTTCCTTCTAAAAATAGCTGGCAGGGATTGTGGCTTTAACCACAGAGTACATTTTGAGGTCTGAGCACTGTCTCTGCAGTCTGTATGTTGCCAGATTTCATCTTGTGAGAACTCTTTATGCTTGTTGTTTTGGAGTCACCCCAAAACAGTAAAATAACAAAGCTACTGCTCAGCCTGTCCAAGCTCTAGCAGACGAATAGAGACAGTAAGACATCATTCATGTCAACCAGTGACAAAATATACGTCATAGGTCAAAAGCATTTTAAAACTTAATATTTTACTAAATTTGAAAAACGATATAAAGCAGTTGTAGCATGCTTTTAGACCAGGGGTGTCAAATTCATTTTCACTTAGGGGCATGTGGCCCTCAAAGGGCTAGCTGTAGTTAACTTTGATGTTTCRTGTTTAACTTMGACTGAACAGAAAACGACCMGTTCCTCATCTCAACGCTACCACTGAGCACCGCTAACAACCAATAACTGAGCTCTAAGTGGTATTTCTTGCATAGAAACACATTTTAACAATGCCCTCTCATAAACACTGAAAAGTACTAACTGACTAAATGTGAAATAAATACTGTTGAAAGTAAAAGTTAGGGAGTTTTACTCACTGCTGAATTGCGGTAAGTCTTAAAGGGGCAATATCATGTAAAATCAACTTTTTTTAGTTTTATATCATGTTATAATGTTATACTCTCATAAAAAAAAACATGGCCAAAGTCTTGCTCTGACTCATTCATGCATGTTTGAGAAATCCTGCAGCGTTTTTAGGAAGCCATGCTGAGGAGCAAAAAGACAGGTGGGGACCAGAAATGCCTTTTGGGACCAGAAACGCCTCTGGGACGTGTCTTTAAGCTGAACTTCCTCATGGCAGAGCGCACCCCCTCACCCCTACCCACACACCCCGCCCATGACTCCTGCAGGCTCTCGGCTCAAAGTGAAAGTGAAACCTAACTGTCTGCTGAGCTCTCAACATTAGTTCTCACTCAGTGAAGCTCTTTTCAAATTAAAAATACCTTTGAGGAAATGTATTTTCAGATGCCAAGTAAACTGCATCATAGCACACGTGTGACCCCCACCCCCGACCCCCCGAAAGGGACGGAACAGAARCAGAAGGAGGTTCTTAAAGAGACAGAGGCCAATTTCAAGGTGTTTAGAAGAGGAAGTGATGAAAAGATAAGTTTATCTTCTATTTAAACATAAAAACAGCATTTTAATAACAGCTAAAGGTGACATAGATACTTTATTATGGTATAATACTTAAATATATGCCTGAGAAACACATGATATTGGCCCTTTAAATTCTAACCTCTCCCACTTTCCGGCAGGGATTTCCCTGGGATAACCAACATGCATTCTGGGATATGTAGTTTATGGTCTGCTTTAAAGCAGCTYATTTTGAGACATTATTACAGAGCTGTTCAACTAAACGGGTCAGGGGGCCAAGTATTATTATCCTTCACCTCTTAAATTTGTTTATTTTAATGCATTGGATCATAAATTTAAGGTTTATCATTGATATAAAAACTATTTTCATATTAAATTAAGACATAAAAAAATTGGCGAGCCAAATGGAAGTCACGGCCTTAAATTTGCCATATGTGTTTTAGACAATGTCTGTTTTTATCTATATAAAATAACTATGTAGCTCGTGGCTTCCTCACTTGCCACTTGTTTTTCTCAGAGGTCTGGACAAGACACGTCCTTTTTGTTTTGTTTTCATAAATCTGAGCCACCAAACCARTCTGGTTGTCTTGATGGTGGTCCTTCCTTCCACAGAGGTAAGCTCAGGACTGCTGATGACAGAGTGAGTAGTTGTGTGTTTGAGTGAAAGTAAGGCTTGGATTGTRGCTGAATAATACCTTTACACTCTCTGGAAACTGCTCAGCTGTGGAGTGCAGAAGCACGTGGCCCTTGTTGGGCAGGTTCATGTAGACGCAGTTGGCAGCGAGGTCATCGGGTACCGTCAGCTTGTCGTAGCGATGGTCACTCATTTGCTGCATGATCTGCACAATCCAAACAGGAAACATACTTTGTAAACAAACAGCCTGTGAGAGCCGACAYGACACAAGGATTACAATGCAGACCATCCTTCAGACGTTTTGATTTAAAAAGAGAAGACATAATCCCAAAAACAGCTCAGCACCCTTTTATTTGCCAAACCGCTGTGGGCGCCGGGGGGGCTTAATGGTGAACACAGAAGCAGACAGACATTCCATCTCAGCAGATGTCATGCTCTTTATGTAATCTGAAGGAACTGGAGGATAGATGAAGACCTGGGGTGGGGGGCAATGAGGATGCCTGTGTTACTGAATGGAAGTCAGGGTGGAGACGATGGTTCCTCTGAATGTTTATGAGCAGAACATCTGTGGATAGATACCTCTGACGGGGTTCTTACAGGTTAAGGCAAGTTCAGTTTAAGACTTTTCTAATACCCACCTGAAATTAAATTGTGTTTAATTAAATAAACACAAGTGGAAAAAGAAACAGCAACTATTTTACCCAAATGTTTGGGTCAGTGTAAAAGTTTCAAAATAGGAAAAATGTTAAAGAGTTGAAGAAAAGTTAAAAAGGTTTTGTGTTTCACACGGTGCACATGACTCCGTTTACCACTGTGTCGAGTTTGAAACATTTCTTGAATAAAAACCCCGTGCCTTATACAAGTTCCACAGTACGGGTTCCAGCAATGCAGAAAAAATCTTGGTTGGACAAACAATTTTCATTGAATTTATACTTTCCCAAGTGATCCAAGGTAAAATGACTGTGTTAACAACGTGCATCTGCTCTGAGGGTCGCAGCTGCAGCCACATCAGTTGTTTTGGYCCCACTATCAGGATTGTGTGACGTTACTATGAGGAATTTGGCAAATTATTTAAAAATTAATGTTCACAATTATTTTAATATTTGAAACTAATTTTAATAATAAAATTCTACTTACGATGGGTTTACATTTTTAAGACCCCTGAAATTTTGATTCCAGATATTTTAATGCTAATTAATGTCTTTCAAGACTTTTTAAAGATCTGTGGGAGTGAATGTGGAAACATCTCCACTGGTGTGTCTAAAATTTCGGTACCAATTTACAATAAGGCTCCCYTTACAGATGGCTTATAAACAGTTTATAGATAGGCTATTAATTCATCTATAAACACTTTATAAACCATTAACCATTATTATGCATTATTTAAGGACGAGAAAGACAAAACTGTCAAAATTTRTCAAGACAAAACTTGCCAAATAGTGAGTCAAATCTGTTCATGTATATTACACCTAAAAGGTGCTATATTAAACATTTCAGACTAGGTTACTACCTTGTAAGCACAATTTTAKATATGATATTGTACTGTAATACTGCATTATACATATCCACAACWATCAAAGGGAGTCTTATTGTAAAGTGTAAGACAGTAGGTACACTCTTTATTAAGGACCAATAAAACTGTATAAATGTCATTAGGGAGTCTTATACAGTAGTGTACTGTTTTACAATTTACAATAAGGCTCCCTTATGACATTTATACATGTCTATTGATGATTGATTGATTGATGATTGATTGTACAGTGGTACCAATATTTCTCTTATCAACTTTAAATTCTCTAAGTTAAAGCCATGGTTCTCATTCTTTGTGCTCCTTGTTACTTCGTTCCCTTTTTATGTTGTTTGATGCCCTGTCCGTTTTATATTTTGTAAATAAAATTTTCAATTTTTTTGTGAAATCAGGTCTCGTGTTAGTCTGCATCCGTGGGTCCTCCCTAACCAACCCTGAAAAATTTAAAGGTTTTTTTTATTTCTAGCAAATATCAGACTCACTTCTTTTTATGAAACACGCTGTAGCTTAGGAGGAACCAAAACAAACTGATGATGCAAAAATCCTTCCAAACAAGTTCAGGGGAGATGAAAATACCATTTGTGAGTCTTGGCTGTGGACTCGTGCGTGAAATGCATCCACGTGTGTGTCCACAAAGACATGCTCAGATCACACAGTGGGTGTGGCACGCTCGCGGCCGCCAAATGAAAAAACACTCTGGGTCATGTGCGTGACCACCAATGCTCTCTTTCATAAGGGGATAAGGAGTGGTTGCTGGGAGAATGTTGACTCCACCAAAAATCACAGCTGATCTTGCCACACACTTTTTAACAGAAAGTAAAAAGAAACAACTTTTTTTGCCCCAGAGCATTACTTCATCATGCAACATGTTGAAATTCATTTGGTGTTTCAGAAAATTCAACAGAAAGGTTAGCTTTTATTTATTGTCAATAGCAAATATTGTGTCTATGGTATTTAAACTTGATTTATATTAGGTTCTTAAATCCTAASAAATACTGTACATATCAATTTATTACTATAGTCTTTTCAGCACAAATTATTGCTTTACATTTGTCCATCACCTCTAATCAGGAGAACTGTATTGACAAAGCTTCTATAGACGCCCTGGCTGTGAATCAAGTGGAAATCTACAGCAAATCAACAGTGACTTTCTCCTGGACTGTGGCTGGGCTCCAGTCAATACACAGAGTGGTAACTGGGCAGCAGAATGTGCCCAGTCAGAGCTGCTAAATCTAAATATTTACTGGAAGGTAATAAAATCCACTCTAGCCTGGGCACTCTCAAGCCGTTAACAAGAACTCTAATGACTTTATTGGACCTGTTGTCCTCCACAATCAACATTACTTGTGCTTCCACTCTTGGTTTGAATATGTATAATACCTCCCATGAAGACTTTAAAAGTTTTACAACTTTCTGTTTCACCAGGCAACAACAACATACAAGCTGAATCATTCTGGAGGCTGCAACCAAACCAAGAATGGGAGTGAGACTGAAATTACTTCCTGGTCATGACTACTGAATGTTTGTTGTTGTCCTGAGAACAGCGGTGTGTAAAGTACTTAAATATACTGTATATACAGGTATATACTAAGTAAAAGTAAAAATACGTTAACAGAAAAGGACTTTGTAAAAATGACTTGTACTGATAAGAAATGTACGGGCAATATTATGTGTTACTGTCAGGTACCTTTTACTTTTACTTTCAGTATTTAGTAAAACCTCCAAAATTAGAAGGCATGATTTTAATGAGCAATTGTTACTCAGTTTTAAACTATATGCCATTTATGTAAAGAAATGAAATAAAAACACTCATATACGACAATATGTTAGTTACATAATTTCATTTTAATATCTTTTGTCCCTCAGTGGGAAAATAAATTCTCTGCATTGTCCTTATTGCACATCTGAGCACACATGTGATTATGCAATTATTATTGCACATGTGAGCAGTTACATTGAATTACAATTCAATGTGATACCTGCACAACTAAAAAGTTAATAAAACAAATAAAAATGTAACTAGTAAAACACTTCAAGGCTAGAAAATGTGATGTGGCTCCCGAGCTGCGGGTTGCCGACCTCTGTTCTATGGAAAATCTCCTTGCAACAATTACCTTTTGTTGTGTGTGGTTTGCTTCCATCGCTGACAAATGCTAAATCCTCTTTTTTATTAGGATGGTCTGTAGCACCTTTGCAACYATATTTAGAGTCAACCATGTCTGTCTTTTAATGATGATCTCTGAAAGTAATCATTGGTTGTAAATACAACAGAGTAACTTCTGGAGTCAACCTGGTTTAAGGTGGTTATAGTTGAACAAACTTATCACACACTAAAAAGGCAACAACTCTTCCATTGTGACAAACAGTGAGCTTAAGTTGATGTGATAGTAGATGAGTCATTCCAACACTTATTCTGAGTGCTAATACAGTGGAGATCCCACAAGATTTCTGTCTAAAAGTCTTGATGCAAGGCAGCAGGCATTAGCCACACATTCAATATTTGCTAGTTGAAATAAAGCCCTATCATCCCTTCAAGAAATGCATATCACAAACCAGCAAAAAGGATAAGTTTTAAAAAAAGAATGATACTTTGTTGACCAGCATTGGTCTTGAAAATATGACTTTGCACAATCTCACAATTAACCTTACAACTTTTTTACTACAAATAATCATGATACTTTACAACTGATTAGTGCACCTTTTCAACATGTCACATGTGAAACTGCTGAATTATCGAAATAAAAGTCCTACATTTACATGTTGTGTGTGTAAATGTGTGTTTTGTTGTAAATTTTAAGTCAAATGTGAATTCATATTTTTAATATACTGAGTGACTTTTTTCACAAAATTTTTCTTTGTCGAGACAAAAATGTTTCATTCAGCTCCAACATTTTTAGATGCTTTATTTCACATTTCTGATGGCCATTCAAGTCCACAGTAAAACAAATGTTTCAGTCTGCCAGAATTTCTACCAAAAGAAGGGCTTTTATCCAGAGTGGACACGCTGATGTCTTTTCAAACTTTCTGACTGGGTGAATCTCATCTCACACTGGGTACAGGCGTAAGGCTTCTCCCCAGTGTGGACACGAAGGTGAATCTTCAGATGGCTTGGCCTGGTGAATCTCTTGTCACAATGGGTACAGATGAACTTTCTTTCACCAGTGTGCTTGGGTTTATATAGTTCTAAATCCGTTGAGAAAACAATACAAAACAGAAAAACCACAGCAACAAAAAACATGTGCTTATATAATACTAATAATAGCCTTACTGAGAAATACGCTGTATAAGTTTGTAAAAGTAATAATAATGTATTTAGGTTTTTAGGGTGTTGAGTTTCTGTATGGTGACTCGTCTCCACCAGTTTATAAGTCCCACCAAAATAGTGTCATCTGTATATGTGATGATGGTGTGGAGTGAGAGGGGGGTGCAGTCATGGGTAGATGGCCAATAGAAGTGGGCTCAGCACACAGCCCTGGGGAAAGCCAGTGCTGCACTGCTTGTACAAACACTTTAAGAAATGAAGTGTTGAATTTATTTAAACAAGCTATGCCAACTGGTTTCACTAAATCAAGTTAAGTAATTGCTTTACATTTACACCACACTGTTTAGTGGAACCAGTTAACATAATTTAGTTAAATTAAGTCAACACAAACACCTCTATTGTAGCATGTAACAGG